CAAATTCCCAACAGTATTTAATACATTTGCTTTACAATATTTTTACAATATTTCTTTATTTTGTCAAGATTACATATAATGTAACAACAGACAATTTACAAATAATATCAGTATTATAACATATGTGGGTTAACAATTTATATAGAACGAGACATGCAAAAAATATTTCGAAAACAACAGTTTATAAGAATAACGTGTCTAATGTTATGAAAGTTTTGATTAAATAGCCTTTACCAGGGGAACAGTGTAAAACCCGGGCATTTTTGCATGTACACAAATAAGTTCTATTTAGAATAATTATACAAGACAATTTCTCCCAACTAGTACTTTATATCTAGCAGTTTTCATACAATAAAAAATTGGAGACATTAGAATAAAACTAACAGTATCTATACGTTCGTAATAATCTCAAATAACTGTATAAATACAAAGACACGATTTACTATTGTGTTGCACGATTATTTTGTAGTAATCATGTCAGTCTAGGAATTTCATTCATAAAGTGGATTTAGTCGGTAGCGTTGACCAATCAGAGTAAATTTTACCTGGCGAGTTGTTTAATTCTATTTATAAGAAGAAAGCAACTTATTGTTTCAAAATATATGAAACAAACATACTTAAAGATTTCAAGGTAGCATAGTCGGTACTATTTAACAATTCATTATACTTGATTACATTTGGATGTTGATAATAATATTCTGGGATATATTTTTCCGTATGACAGTAAAACGTTTACAGGACATAATGGCGTGAAATTCGTCTTCTTCGCAGGTACGCTCGTTGTATGGAGTATTGTTATATCTTAGAATTTCTACCGGAAGACGGTGATTAGCTGTTCGAAATTTAAGAAGCGGTATGTACAAGTTTTTCGGTAATATTGTTAAATAGTCTTCTCTTTTATGTTCTTGTTTATACAAATAATATACTTTTCCTTTGTTTGAGGCTTGTAATTTTCCATTCAAATCTGTTATAAATTGATCTACTAGCACTTGTTTTATTAGTAAGTGGATATTTATTTATAGTAATATCTTCTTGATTCAAGAATAGATAGGGGAAACCAGTATTGTTTAAAATATCTTTTACTGAATTTAGCCATCTGTAGGAATTATCGCTTTGAATCATTATTTTGTAAATAATATTTGAATATTTATTCGAATCATTTGTTTTTGAAATATTCCAAAACCGAATAAATTTCGTATTGATATTTATTTGCAACGGGTAACGCCCCAATTCCCCATATAACATATAAGCGGGGGTACTTTTTCCTTGTATTTGTAATTTTTCTTAGAAAATCTAAATGAACCTTTTCTATGTCGTTGTTATTTTCTATACCCCATATTTCGCTTGAAAATGTGAGTATGGGTAAGATTGTGTTATCAAATAATTTAAGCTGAAGATCTAAAGGTAGATTTAGGTTAAAAATACGTTTGTATAACAAATGCATCGCCTTTTTTTGCTTGAGTTATAATATGGTCACGTGCTTTGTTAAATTTGCCAGTCTGACTAAAAACAACTCCCAGATACTTATATTTTTCTGTTATCTCAATAGGATGATTATTTATGTAAAATGTTAGGTTACGAGTACCGCGTTTATTTCGAGCCGAAAACAATAACTTTCGTTTTTTCTGTATTTATTTTGCAGTTTCCATTCGTTGCAGTACGAGTAGAAATCATTTAAGCATTTCTGAAAATCTTGAGGTTTTCGCGCCAGAATAATAGTATCGTCCGCGAAAGAGAAGAGCTAGGATAGTTTAGAGTTTCTATGTTCTCGTCGGATGCGTAGTCTAATGTAATCCCAGAATTTGCCTTTTGATGTCAAGTAAGCTAAAAGGTCATTAAGATACAGGGAAAATAAAAGTGGGGACAAATTTTCCCCTTGACGGACCCCAATATCGCACGAGAACATTGCTGAAAGTATTGCCATTTAACTGGATACAAGATTTAACCCCTTTATACATATTGCGGATAAGTCTCAGGAATTTTCCGTTTATTTCAGTATCGATTAATTTTTGGAAAAGTTGCGCACGTGGTAAATTATCAAATGCACGAGAGAAATCAATGAATCCGACATATAGTTTTTGTTTTTGTTTTTTTAAAAAATTCTATGAGAAAATTCAATGTAAACACATGATCAAAGAGTTGACATATTTTTTTTCTAAAGGCAGTTTGATTTCCATGGATCAGGTTATTTGTTTCGACAAACCTTGTCAGTCTATCATTTAGGACACTAGTGAATATTTTTGAGAGACAGGATAAAAATCGTAATGGGTCTATAGTTTTCCGGGGAAAGTTTCGAAACCTTTTCCTTTATAGATTGGAATAATGTAGCCCTCTGACCAAGTACTAGGATAATACCAGTATCCAATATCTTGTTGAAAAAGTTTTGCATAGATTGGTAGCATAATATTCTTAGTGCTTTTAAATATATTCGTTTGATATGGAATCGGATCTACTATATGCTTTACCATTTTTACATTTTATAATAGCTTTGCTTATTTCGGAATGCGTAATTTGTGAATTTAATATTTTCATTTTCGTAATTCATATCGGTTTCATCGGCCATATAGCTGCTATTTTCAGATGGTTTATTTACTTTTTCAAAATAATCACGAAATTCTTGTAAATTTTTGGGGTTTTTTATGTCTTTATTACGATTTATGGAATTTAAAAAAACGTCCAATAACCTTTGGGGGTCACTTTTATTCAATTTACGCAATTTCGATTCATTGATAAAATTATGTTTATTTATGTAATACTTCATCGTGCGTTTATACTCCTTGCTTGCGCGGTTGAGTAAGTTTCGGTTATGCGGGTTATTATTTTCTTTGTATGCTTTTACGTGCACGGTTATATTGGGATTTTTTACTTCTGCAGTGAGGCCCGAACCAGGCTTTGTTTTTAATTCGTAATTTGTTTTGCGTTTGTTTTTTTACGCATTTGAGATTGTACATTACTAGTATGAAATGTGCTCTTGGCGGAGTTTCCAAAAATAATTGAAATGTTTTGCATGATATCATCTAGAAATGGTGATTGCGCAGATTCCTCCGAAGGAAAATTTTCTAGAGGTTTAAAATATGTGATACATGTTCTTGGTCTATGTTTTGTACAAATTCTATACTTTTATCTGATTGCCATTTAAAGTGCTGGGGACTTGCTTCGGTTTCGCTAACATCTGAACTACTATTATTTAAGACCTCTGTGTCAGATCCGATAATTGTTGTAAGAAGTGAGTGGCCATCGGAAAAAATGCTATCAAGTTCAGTAATGTAGAAATCTTTGAGATATTTTTAAATAAGTTTGCAGAGGCTATAGTGTAATCTATAACGGAGTTATTTTTAAATGTACAAGCCGCTTCAAGGCTATCAATCCCAAATCTACCATTGAGTATATACAAGTTATTATTTTATACAAACATCAACTAGTTTTCTTACCTAAATTATTAATATTAAGGTCTTTGGACGCTCTATTTACATTTATGCCTAAACTTCTTAACACATCCGTCTGATTAAAAAAATCAACCATATTTTCATCAAATCAAAAAAAGCTTGACAAAAAATGCGTCTGGTTCTGAGAAATCCTGCAACAATCCAATATGAGCATTAGCATCACGCAGTTAACATAACATTTCCATAAGAGTTAACACATATCAACAACTTCGTTTTCAAAAAATTAATAATTCATCTTGGTTGAAGAATCTTGAGGACTCTGGTGGGATATACACAATACCTAATATCAAGCATTTATTTGACTGAAATGGTTTTTTATTTATCTTGATCCAAAATACGTAATCTGATGTAGAATCGATTTTTTCAACATATTTACTAATATCATTTTTGATAAAAGCCCCCACTCCACCAGAGCGTCTCAATGATGCTTGTTTTCTAGGCTGGCTTAGAAATACATAATTATCAATGTTTATTTCATCATAGTTTGCAATTTTACATTCTGTACAACAAAAAATATCATAGTTTGATACTAAATCTATAAATTCTGGGAAGTTCGATCTTGATTTAATACCACAGACGTTAAGCGTTTGTACCCCCATCCACTCAGTTACATACTTAAATGACAATTAAAGTAGAACACGTTTTGGAAAGAAAACCAAATTCTCAATGTTTTATTTACTGATAAAATATGCCAGAAAGAATTTATATGTATAAAATATTTTGAGGGAAAAGAAAGAAAGTGCAAAAATTGACTGTTAAAACATTAAGTCACAGGTTTTAAATTGAAAAAAAAAAACATGTATTTTCCTCATATTTCACAACTAGGCATTGTCTATTGAGCAATGACTCTGAAATATGTGATAAGGAGTAGATTCAAAGTCTTTTAGACAGTCAATATAAAGTAATCTGAAGTATTTTTAAAATTTTAATAAAATTACCATTTTACCCCACCCACTTAAAAACACATTTATCTTAAAAAAATTACTAAAATGATAACTTTCATTGGGCACATTTTTGTTTGTTAAAAGGTTGTTTCCTGTAAATCAGTCATAAGGAACAAAATCATTATTGAATGCAAGAAAAAATAGAAAATGTAAAGCACATATTTAAAAAAAAACAGCAATTTAGAAAAAAGTTAGCCTTAATTATCGGTTTTTATTATAAAAATTCTACTAACATTATTAGTAGATACTAAAACTAAATTTAATAAATATATTTAATATCAAAATGTTTAAAAAAACAACTTTTTTAAAAAGTTAATGCTTGCAAATTTAAGTAATAAGTAATAAATGATTATTTTCATATTTTTGGCGGCCATCTTGGACGCCATCTTGGATTTCTTAGTCCGCCAGCACTTATGGCAAAAATAAAATCCTATTTCGTAATCTAGGGACCCAACCGAACATTTTGGTATATGAAACCCCCTGTTTATGATTGGGGACCAGTTACTCCCCTAAATAAGCGAGTTATTTGAGTCTATTTGCAGCACTATTAGGGGTGTTCAATCAGCTTACTGGACCAATTTTCATAAAATTTAAAATAAAACGTAAATACGGTGCAAATGTTTTGAACCATGGTTTGAATATCGAAAGTGTCTAAACTTGCATTTTAATGCTAGTTTTAAACCAAAATGCATTATTCTTCATTTTCTATCTTGTTGACCTTATTTGTTTTTACTGGTCTGCTAAGTTTCCATCCATCTGAAGCATTTCTTGAGTGGCTTTGGGGCTTTAACTCAGATGACAGTCCAGAAACTCCAGTTGTGAGAACAAATGGTGTGAAGTTTGAGGTTCAAACAACAGACGAAAAGTTTCTCCAGCTGAAGGATGTTTTTGAAAATATGTCAGAATTAGATGCTTGCAACAATATTGTAAGAAAAATATGTGTACTAGACCCCTGTTGTTTGTCTAGATATTTACAATTACACAGACAATTTATCAGATAATTTGGAGGGTCAGGCCTAGTCTTCATTGAAAGACTTTGCATTTTCTGTTTTTAGAGTTTTACATTTATCGGCAAATACGAATTAAAACAAATTTGACCAAATTATGATCAAATTTGCTTCCACGGTTTATGTCTACATATTTTGGACTAGGTCAGACCCGGCCTGGTCTAGCCTATTGAATTCAGCATGAACGGTTTGACACATTTTACAAACTTTATTCTCATACTGTCAAAAAGACATCCCCGTCCAAAATTATCTTGATGTCTCTTTGACAAGTCTAATTAGTTGGACTAGGACTGCCCCATCCTTGTCAACTGTCAATAAAAAACTTTAAACATTTAAATACAGATCTACTAATAATATAGGTTTTATCCCTTTTAATAAAACATATTTTTAATTTATAGAATGAAAAATTTTTATTTTTTTAACATTTTAAATCAGGAAATTTTTCCCGAAATGCACATTTTTAAAACATTTAGAAAAAGTTTAACAGTTTAAATATTAACATCTTTATATTATACTTATAGAAGATACAGGAAGTTAAAAGAGGAAGGGAAGAACAACATATCCAAACAAGGATTGTCTTACTTGTTTTTGGGTTTTTTTTGTTGGATTTTACGTCACACTAACACAGTTTAGATCATATATAGCCATTTTCAAGCTCTACTGGTGGTGAAAGACCTAAGACAGGTGCCCATTCATGCCTGAAATAATGCACAGACTGGCACCTGAGTCGAACCACCAATGTTCCATAAGGTAACTGGATAGGTTCCTCACATGAAGGAATCCAAAGTCCAGATTGGGATTCAAACCCACAGTGGTTAGAAAGTCAAAGACCTTAACGGGCGTAACCACACGGCCATGGATGCCCCATCTTACTTGTTAAACAATTTAACTGCATGGTTTAAGTTTTTACAGTAGAAGAATTTTACCAAAAATATTGGGCTCTAATATATACTTTTAATTTTGTGTCAAAGTTACAAAAACTGAACGAAAACAATCTATTTGAATTTTGATGTACTATACAGTTTTTAGCTTGACTATACAAAGTATATGGAGAGCTGTCCTCGTCCAGGCGTCCACGTCCAGATTTCAGATTAAAGTTTTGGTGCAGTAAAATATTTTTCACTATAACTTTTTCGTTTCATAAGGTATCAACTTCAAACTTCAAATTATGTTCCTTATCATCAACCCAATCTTATGTGACAATGTTCATAACTCTAGCACCAATATTTTCAGATTTATCTCCCCTTCAACTAAGAATGTTCCTTAAAAATATTATTTTTAGCTCACCTGTCACTCAGTGACAGGGTCGCTTTTCGTCCGGCGTCCGTCCGTCCAGCGTCCATCCGTAAACTTTTACTTCAAATGACATCTCCTCATAAACCACTAAGCCAGTTTCATCCAAACTTCACAGGAATGTTCCTTTGGTGGTCACCTTTAAAAATTGTTCAAAGAATTTAATTCCATGCAGAACTCTGGTTGCCATGGCAACCGAAAGAAAAAACTTTAAATATCTTCTTTTAAAAAACCCAAGGAGCTAGAGCTTAGATATTTGGCACGAAACATCTTCAAATGAGTGTTTACCAAGTTTGTTCAAATAAAAGCCCTGGGGTCAAAATTGGCTCCGCCCCAGGGGATCATTGATTTTCCTTATATGCATATAGTAAAAACTTAAAAAATCTTCTTTTAAAGAACTCAAAGAGCTAGAGCTAAGATATTTAGCATGAAACATGTTCTTATGGGTGTCTACCAAGTTTGTTCAATTAAAAGTCCTCGCGTCAAAATTGGCCCCGTCCCGGGGGTCATTGATTTTCCTTATATGTGTATAGCAAAAACTTAAAAAATCTTCTTTGAAGAAACCAAAATAGCTAGAGTTTAGATATTAAGCATGAAACATCTTCTAGTGAGTGTCTACAAAGTTTGTCCAAATAAAAGCCCTGGGGTCAAAATTGGCCCCGCCCCGGGGGTCATTGATTTTCCTTATATGTGTATAGCAAAAACTTAAAAATCTTCTTTGAAAAAACCCAAATAGCTAGAGTTTAGATATTAAGCATGAAACATCTTCTAGTAAGTGTCCACAATGTTTGTTCAAATAAAAGCCCTGGGGTCAAAACTGGCCCTGCCCCAGGTGTGTCATTGTTTTTAACTATATGTGTATAGTAAAAACTTAAAAAATCTTCTTTTAAAAAACCGAATGAGCTAGAGCTTAGATGTTTAGCATGAAACATCTTCTTATGGGTGTCTACAAAGTTTGTTAAAATAAAAGCTGTTGGGATAAAATTGGCCCTGCCGGGGAGGGGGGGGGGGGGGGGGAAGGGAAGAAGGTCATTGTTTTTCATGAAATGTGTGTAGTAAAAAACTTAACATCATGAAACATCTTCTAATGGGTGTCTTCCAAGTTTGTTCAAATAAAAGCCCTGGGTTTAAACTGGCCCTGCTCTGAGGGCCTATATACAGATGAGCGACCTAAGGGCCATCATGGCCCTCTTGTTTACTGTTACTTCTTTATTAGCTCACCTGTCACAAAGTGACAGGGTGAGCTTTTGTGATCGCTTTTCGTCCGGCGTCCGTCCGGCGTCCCTCCGACCGTCGTCCGTCCGTAAACTTTTACTTTAAATGACATCTGCTCATAAACCACTAGGCCAATTTCATCCAAACTTCACAGGAATGTTCCTTTGGTGGTCACCTTTAAAAATTGTTCAAAGAATTTAATTCCATGCAGAACTCTGGTTGCCATGGCAACCGAAAGAAAAAACTTTAAATATCTTCTTTAAAGGAACCCTAAGAGCTAGAGCTAAGATATTTTGCATGAAAAATCTTCTAGTAAGTGTCTACCAAGTTTGTTCAAATAAAAGCCCTGGGGTCAAAATTGGCCCTCCGAGGGTCATTGATTTTCCCTATATGCATATAGTAAAAACTTAAAAAATCTTCTTTTAAAGAACTCAAAGAGCTAGAGCTAAGATATTTAGCATCAAACATGTTCTTATGGGTGTCTACCAAGTTTGTTCAAATAAAAGCCCTGGGGACAAAATTGGCCCCGCCCCAGGGGGTCATTGATTTTCCCTATATGCATACATGTATAGTAAAAACTTAAAAAATCTTTTTTTAAAGAACTCAAAGAGCTAGAGCTAAGATATTAAGCATCAAACATGTTCTAATAGGTGTCTACCAAGTTTGTTCAAATAAAAGCCCTGGGGTCAAAATTGGCCCCGCCCCGGGGGTCATTGATTTTCCTTATATGTGTATAGCAAAAACTTAAAAAATCTTCTTTGAAAAAACCCAAATAGCTAGAGTTTAGATATTAAGCATGAAACATCTTCTAGTGAGTGTCTACAAAGTTTGTTCAAATAAAAGCCCTGGGGTCAAAATTGGCCCCGCCCCAGGGGTCATTGATTTTCCTTATATGTGTATAGCAAAAACTTAAAATCTTCTTTGAAAAAACCCAAATAGCTAGAGTTTAGATATTAAGCATGAAACATCTTCTAGTAAGTGTCTACAAAGTTTGTTTAAATAAAAGCCCTGGGGTCAAAACTGGCCTCGCCCCAGGGGTGTCATTGTTTTATAGTAAAAACTTAAAATCTTCTTTGAAAAAACCCAAATAGCTAGAGTTTAGATATTAAGCATGAAACATCTTCTAGTAAGTGTCTACAAAGTTTGTTCAAATAAAAGCCCTGGGGTCAAAACTGGCCCCGCCCCAGGGGTGTCATTGTTTTTAACTATATGTGTATAGTAAAAACTTAAAAAAATCTTCTTTTAAAAAGCCCAATGAGCTAGAGCTTAGATGTTTAGCATGAAACATCTTCTTATGGGTGTCTACCAAGTTTGTTCAAATAAAAGCCCTGGGGTCAAAATTGGCCCCGCCCCAGGGGGTCATTGATTTTCCCTATATGCATATAGTAAAAACTTAAAAAATCTTCTTTTAAAGAACTCAAATAGCTAGAGCTAAGATATTTAGCATCAAACATGTTCTAATAGGTGTCTACCAAGTTTGTTCAAATAAAAGCCCTGGGGTCAAAATTGGCCCCGCCCCGTGGGTCATTGATTTTCCTTATATGTGTATATATAGCAAAAACTTAAAATCTTCTTTGAAAAAACCCAAATAGCTAGAGTTTAGATATTAAGCATGAAACATCTTCTAGTGAGTGTCTACAAAGTTTGTTCAAATAAAAGCCCTGGGGTCAAAACTGGCCCCGTCCCAGGGGTGTCATTGTTTTTAACTATAATTGTATAGTAAAAACTTAAAAAAATCTTCTTTTAAAAAGCCCAATGAGCTAGAGCTTAGATGTTTAGCATGAAACATCTTATGTGGGGGTGGGGGGCTATATACAGGTGAGGGCCATCATGGCCCTCTTGTTTCTTAAGGGATCAACTAAATATTTCAAATGTATGTTCCTTATCATTAACCACATCTTATGTGACATGGTTCATAACTCTAGCACCAATATTGCAAGAATTAATTCACCATTAACTTAGATTTATTTACTTGAAATATGTTATTCTTACTATGACTATGTAGTTTTAAAGGTATCTACCTCAAACTTCAAATACATATTCCTTATCATCAACCAAATCTTATGTGACAAGGTTCTTAACTCTTGATGCAATATTTTCAGATTTATCTCCCTTTGAACTTTGAATTTTCATTAAGAAATATTATAACTTCTTTACTTTTAAGTTTTTAAGGTATCTTCTTCAAACTTCATAAATATATATTTGTTATAATTACACACATGTTGTGTGACAATGTCCATAACTCTAGTGTGACTATTTCCAGAATTTTTCCCCCTTGTAAATGGAATTTATGCTTACAACTATAACTTCTTGTTATAATAAGAAATATATTTATATCATAATTGATTTTTTCTTTCATAGTTTTGTCTTCCTTACTGCGTCCAGTATTTGAATAGTCGAGCTTCGCTGTCTCCTGTGACAGCTCTTGTTGCTCATAATCATTATTTTCACTTTTTTATGTATAAATGTCAGGATATTGATATAATTATGCAATAAGCATAATGTTAATATACACTTTTATCATAGTTTGGGGACCTTTCTGTAGAAAATGTGTCAGAGTTAAATCGTATACATATACATGCACAGTGTGTTAACTGGAGTGCAGGTATTAGTTACCCGCACTCCAGAGCTATGTTATTTAGAAGTGATTTTGTAATTAAAGAACAGTTTACCAATGTACAATAGTTATATAAACTAAGAAGTGTGTGTATCCATTGATATTAATGTCAAAAAGTTCTAAGGCTTGTTTGGTTTTGCAATTCTAAATAACCATTAATGCATTTGTGTAACCATTGCCTCCTTGAAAATTTATTTAGAAGCTCCACTTTAATAAGATTGTCCAAAAAAATGCATAAGAAAATGCATCAGAGAAAAGTAATATTATATTACAGTTGTAGGTATGTCATATTTAGCTCAACTATTTGAAAAATATGGAGAGCTATTGTACTCGGCTTCAGCATCACACTTTGGTTATTTTCTAAACTGAAAGGATTGGGTTGAAAAGCTTGTTCTCTGTGGCTATCTAACATATTTGGCACAAATCCTTTAATTCTGATTTGTTTTATTTGCATATTTTTGTAACTTAAAATTCTTTGTTAAGTTTTTGCATGTAAGCTGGTATCTCCATAACTGCTAAAGGGAATGAGTGCAAACTTCATTCACATACCATATTTGAGAGCATAATAGGAGGTTACTATCCAAGGTTAATAACTCTTACATGAGTTTAAACAGAATTATGGCCCTTTTTAACATACAAAATACTACATTAACCAGACTTGTGTTTTATGAACAAGAACAGGGAATAGTCCAGCATGCTGTCTTCTTGTCTTAAAAAGTAGGTACATGTACTCCATAATTGAGCCGCGTCATGACAAAACTAACATAATGTGTTTGCGACCAGCATGGATCCAGACCAGCCTACGCATCCACGCAGTCTGATCAGGATCCATGCTGTTCACTTACAGACCCTATAACAAGTAAAGAAACTGATAGCGAACAGCATGGATCCTGATCAGACTGCGCGGATGCGCAGGCTGTTCTGGATCCATGCTGGTTGCAAACCCATTATGTTGGTTTTGTCGTGACGCAGCTCTTATAAATTTTGATATTTCAGGTAATTTACAAGTTGAAGAAACGATGTGGAGAACTATCAGATGAAGAACTTGGCAAGTTGTCTGTACAGTTGTTTAATTGTCAAACTACTGTAGAGAAAAGACCAACCTATAAATGCACGGATGGAATGGTATTTACATTGTTCACTGGTTATGTCAACTTTGCTGTACCAGTGTTTATTTTCCTCACCCATTGTTGTATACAGTGAAACTCGTATATAGCAAACATGTCAAGACCATGACTTTTTGTATGCTATATCAAAGGTTTCTTATAGCATATATACGATGTAAGGAATAAGTTTTTTATAAACAATTGAATAAAAGAAGATATAATATGTGAATATACAATTAAATTAGGAAAGAACTTCTGGAGCTGCTACTTAAGACATGTTTATTGTTTTTCTGATGATGCTTGTATAGTTACAAATCCTCTTTAATCTTAGTCATAAAAGATATATAGTTATGCATGTCACAGTGAAATCTACAATACTAAGAATTTGTGTCAATTAATAATTCTTTATGTGATAGATAGATAAATTCTGTTTCATTCTAGCAAATTTGTTTTGTACCTTTTGTACTATTTCAGATATTTTTGCATGTTCCAAAAGTAAGCAATTTTAAATGTGAATAGTCAAATGAAAAAAACATAGGTCTTTACATTTAATTTTTGAATTTAATTATTTTGTTGTATTGGTTCCCATTATAGACTCTGGCAGAATGTACAAAAGATATGGATGGTACAACTTGGAATGGGTACCAGATAGTGAACAATCGAGCGCGAGCTCTTTGCTACGCCACCCAGCACCAACAGTTCCGCAAGTTGACAGAGATCACAGTAAATCAACTGATGTCACAGGCACATGGACAGTTAGAATATTTACAACAACTTCAGGTAACAAGGAGTTTTAAAGCTCAACCTTTTTAGTTAGTTGAAAAATGTTTGATAAATTTTGTAGAAAATACAGTACAATCTCTGTATAGTAACACCATGTGGGAGCAAATGATTCCGGTTGCGGGTGAGATGTAAGATAATAATGTAGTCAGGGTCCCAATATCTACAAACCTAAATAGGTATTTAAAATCCAAAAAATAATGAAAGCACATTCAATTCCTCAATTAGTTGTTTTTCAATTTTATTCCCTAGATTGAGAATAAAAGAATTATTCCACTTGATATTTATTCATTGTAATTTTCAGAAAATCAAGTGATCAGCTGCAGGTATTTCATTTGCCAGTAAAGCTATAGTGACTTAGAAAATTTTATTGGTTAAAAATTTGGACTACCTCTAAATTGTGAGATCACAGTAATTATTCAGGGTTTTCAGATTGGTGGTCTATATCATTGGTTAAATGTTGTTAAATGTTGTTAAAATCAGTTGTATATTCAGCCCTTAGATTAAAATATCAACCTTGACTTTTTGCAAAATGTTTTGTTTTCTTTAGCATTGCGCAACTTTGCCTCAGATAAAAATGAAAACCCTGTTATTGATGTACAATGTTTATTTATAGTCTGGTCAGGAGCAACTACATCAAATGACCACACATACTGTACGTGAATTGTACGAGAGCCAGAAAGACTTGATTGGTAACCAACAAACATTGAAAATGTCCCAGGACAGTGTCCTGTCTCAAATCCATTCCAACATGGAAGAATTAAAACATGAAAAAGCCATGATTGCTACAGGAAACAAGGAATTGGCAGATTTAACTGAAAATATAAGATCAAAATTAGGTAAGGACGTTTATAATTGTAGGCATAAGGCTCCATTATCCATCAATCTAGCTGGAACAGATGAGGTATACAGAAAAAATATTCTATACATGTATGTATAAGGTACATGTATGTATAAGGGCAGCTAGCTGTTACAGGTCATAGGAAAATACCAAGATACCAATTACTGAAATTCAAAACATTTATACAAAAGCAGATTTAAAACACATAACATTAACATATTCCTGATTTGATTTTCTTAACATTTATCCCCCCCACATATATTTTAATGGACTAAACCATTTGTCATTTCTAAGAGAAGAATGTCTGAATAGTGAACAGTACAGACCATGAATGTGGGCGCTGATCTTGGTCTGCACTGGTGGCATAGGTGGAATCAGTTGCCACCAGTAGAGCGAATGTTCTAATTTGACACAAATTGACAGTAACTCAAACATGTTGTGACCACTAATTGTTTAAATCATCATAAAAACAGAGTATTTTGTTGTCCAGCTAGCTTACAGATGGTCAATGGTTCTAATGAGGTGTCCACAGTGTTCATTTGTAACATGAAAACAAACAAATATCTTCAATTGATGAAAAAAAAAAAAAAATTTTTTTCATTTACTTGAGCCATTAATTCTTTATCAGAATTTATAGGCATTGATTTGGGTAAATTGCTTATTACCATTTATGCCGCATCATGACAAAACCAACGTAATGGGTTTGCGACCAACATGGATCCAGACCAGCCTGCGCATCCACGCAGTCTGATCAGGATCAATGCTGTTCGCTATCAGTTTCTCTACATGTTATAGGGTCTTGTGGCTGAGAGTTTGCCTTTAAGTGTTCAGGCTTTAGAATTGCAGCCACTGTTTACATGTATCTCTGCATGGTTGTAAGATGCAACTTAATTGGTTTGAAGTACTGTAGTATATGCATCTCTTTGCTCCAGCGGGTTAAGTGGTTTTGACCCCTGGTGTTGCTTCAAGTTTGTAACTCCTGAAGTTAACCAAAATCATCTTTCCTGTTTCGGCATCATATGACCTAAATTGTGTTGTTGTGCCGTAAAACAAAAAAACACAAAGTATTTAAAATGTTCATGACTAAATTACATAACAAATATACACATGGTATAAAGACTATATCTGTATGGTTTTGACTAAAGGCAATGGATCTGCAAGTAAGTGTGATGTACATCTGTTGATAATAATTTGCTCTTTTTATTTGAATTTAACAAATAAAATTCTGCATTACAATTATTACTGCATTTTCTTAAAATCTATTTTTTATTTGGCTCGGCAATTTTGCACACGTCTCCTTGAAATAAAAAAATGTTTAATAGAACTTTCATCTTCATATTATAGATGGGTGTACATTTTGCATGTCACTTTACTATTAATTTAACTAATTTATACTAACATTGTTAAATCAATCTTTTCAGTAAATATAGCAATGCATCAAGTAAAACATTGGCACATACGTTGTATAAAATGGTTTCTTTCATATTGAGCTAAGTTCAGTAAATCCTTTAAATACCCTGCTGAATTTGTATAATGGACTTGCCCATGGTTAAATTTGGAATGGTCTATTTGCATTGTAAGGGATTTCAAGATCCAAATGCTTAAATTGAGCATCTAACAGAAAAGAGCCTTGGTAGAATGCATAAAACCACATGTTGACCTGGCTTTATACTGGTGGCATAGGCACATTTTTTTTTATTTTTTTTTTTGTCATTAAAAGGATAAGTTGATCAGCCAAAAGTACAGAGCCAAGCTTTTATTGTGGACTGCATTGATATGCACACTGGTCTGGCTCTATACTGGTTGCATGTAAAAATAAGGAAATCTGAAGTTTTGTCAGATTGTTGCAAAGGTGTCAGTTCTAGCAGTTATTGGCATGTGTTTTCTACATTATCTATTAACTTAAATTAAGTTAAAAACGTTTTCTTTGCACATGTTAATCACATGTTCAAATACATGTTTATCACATGTTCAAATAACTAATAAAACAGTTTTGTTACAGTTTCGTTGTTTGGGAATTGTTTTATTTTTTTAACCTGTCAATTGTATACTGATTATATGGTCAATGTCCACAGTTATATTAATCTTGATAAATTTTCAGTAAAGATTGTGAGATATACACAGTCAGAATTGATTCTGTTTAGATTTACTTTGTGTCTATGAAATAATTTAAATTATAATGAGTGTAATAGCACAGTATAATAGGATAAACTATGTATTTGTTATTTCTGCACATCCGACATATTGTAAAACCAAAACCGCAGCTGCAATTCAGTCATTAAACATTAACAGTAAATGTCATTTCAGTTAAGTAAAATACAATACAAAATGAGTTTTCTCACATCCATGTAGATATTTATGCAAACACTCCAATAGAATAGAATAGAATGAAGACAAACCCATGGTAACAGAAGGGCTCAAACAACAGGCTTCTCTTGTATTAGGCAATCACTTAACCAACTGTGCTAATGTGATGTAGACCTACACATTAAGCTAGTGTGACTTTTCAAAACATTAGTTATATATTCCATATTCTCATAAATTACATGCTCATATCCAAAGTGGTATTGAATATTTAAATGAGTGCTACGTAGTTGCCATGGTTCTTTACAATGTAACCAGAGAAATATATATATATAAATGTTACATTTACATGTGTATTTTATTATAGACGAGGCTACAAACCAGTTACAAAGGCAAGAGAACACACAGCTTGATAGCCATGAGAAAATACTTAAAGATCTCACAAATATACAGAAAAAATCACACGATGCCTTGAACAAACTTGGTATTTTATTTTTGTTTTGTTAAATCTTACTTGTATTGTTGGGACATTTGTGACAGAGTTATAATACCTGTCAAACGTTGCGGTTCAGATCGGAATATCTAACCTAAGGGGACTCGCCCATGGACGGGATCCTGAAGGACAGAAATTTCAATCTGAACCGAAAACATATCAGATATTTCTTCTTGCATATTTTACCATATTCCATCATATCTTAATAAATTCTTAACCTTAAAAAACAATTTACAATGGAAATTTATGTTATTAATTATTACACCCGTATCTATTTTCTCAGCATATGAAATTACAAGTTCATTCATAAGGGCGAATTTACGTCAACCTAAGAATGCCATTGTATTGAAGCGACTCATCTGGCACCCCCCCCCCCCCCATTGCCACAGGAAATATCAGGCATGGGTAAAACTAATGGAGACACCAGTCTGATATGCAAGAATAGTTAAGGTAGTTGATTTTCAACCACTTGTCACTCAGCACTGTGGGTACGAATCCTGCCAGGGACTTTGGTCTTCTTTTATGTGAGGAAGCTATCAAACTGGCCTATGTTATGTTATTGGTTCTACTCAGGAGTCTGTTCATGTCTTAAATACTTCACAGAGGGGCATCTGAGGTCTTGCTCCACCAGTCATTTGGAAAATCCTTGTATGACATTTTCAGTATTGGTTCATCATAACCAACACAACAAAAAACAATATTTGTGTAAATTAACTATCCTTCCATTGAATTTGGAACAGTATTTTAGTAATTTAAGGTGTTTTTATATAAAAGATTTAAATGTGTTATTCTTATTTTAGCAAGTTTTGTTTATATGTTAAAAGAAAAGTGGCACGAGGATAATTATTGTATTTCTGGTTGTTGACACAAAAGTTTGAACACAGCTATTAAAGATCTACATGACAGAAGCGTTTATTTTATAATTTAGATGAAAGTTCTGCACATTTGGTGAAGAACCACGAGGAAATGTTAAGTAACTACGAACGTATGTACGAGAACATGATGAGGATAAATGCGACAGTTTCTCACCTCCTGTCGACAGTTAATGTGATGCAGAACCACCTGGATGAGAAAATAAACTGGTTCTCAACACTGCTTCATATGGCAGGTTTGTTTTATTGTGTTACTATTCAAGGTGCCACTAATAGCCTAGTGGTAACGGTCAAATTGCTTGCCTCTCCGGACTGTTGGTTCAAATCCTGCCGCAGACATTTGTTTGTCACCATGAGCAACTTTCAAACTATCCAGCTAGCTAACTAAGATTTGGCAGTCTCTTTGCTTAATGTCAACAATAAATTGTTGCCTATTTGATAAAAGATCTAAATGTAAATGTGTTAGGCAAGAAATATTTTTGTGAAAATAAATGGGAACTTGTTATGTAAAATGACAGTAAAAAATTTGAATATTTAAATAAATTTGTAATATTTGAATAATACCTTGTTTAAAATAGGATGTTCTCTTGTATTAATAAATTCCAGTATTTTATCAAACATCATGTATTTCAGATGACAAATTGTCAATACTAACATGTGGAGCGTTACATATTGGCTACTTCCTGTTTGCGGCACTGACGGCCTCATTCCTACAGACGCCAGCAGCGACTCGTTTAATCCTGTTTGTATTGGTTGCATTGAACGCGTCCATGGAGATCCAGTATAATCAGAGTCTTGACTTTGCCTCAATATCCCTCTTTTTGTTCATTGTCTGCTTAGGTAAGTTGACCCAGGCAAAAAAAGTTCTTTATTTCAGTTTTAAGCTCACCTGAGCAAAAAGCGTTTTGTTACATAGACCTGTATGAGAAACCTTCAAAAACTACAATGCTGACAGAGTCAAGAATATTTGGTATAAAAGATGTCCTCGTATTCGCCTACAAGTTTTTACATATATATATCATGCCCCTTTGGTTACAGTACTTAAGCTGTGTTTTTGGGATCACTGTGTTTATAAAGACTCGTGTAGGAAACACATTTTATATATGCTTGTCTGAAACCACTGGCTTAGAGATTGGATATTAAGTATTTAGCAGTGCCTTGTGGACCACTACAAAAATTAGATACTGGTAAGTCATGCATCTTGGGTAAAAAAAACAACTCTCAATGGGACTCAGATGAGCGATCAATGGCCAGAATGGCCCTCTTGTTAATTCTTTTAGTGTCATTTAATAGTTAAAAAACAAGATGTATTTTCAGTATGATTATGTAAAGACACAAAAAATTATCCTATGAGACTATTTCCTGTTACAGTTAATTGGATTTACATTTGGTGGAGCAGACGTCACAAGGTCAAGTCAAGGTCAGATCCTCCATTTGTGTCTGGTTCCCTTACTGCTCCTGGTATGGAACAGCACTCAGATGAAGATGATGAGAACCAGTTTCCTGATACAACAACTACAAGTGCTGGTACCCCTCATGTTACACCTTTATCACCTGTAGAGATGAGGCAGCTGACAACCAACCTCAGTAGATTGTATAATTCATGTGAGTAAATAATTTGTCTTTTTAGCTAAATGGTTTTTGTCTTTGAAACACTATTAATGCTTAAATGTCCACTGACACTTTTAAAGACATTTTTCAGATATTTTTAACTTAACTTTTAGAGGTATACCTCATGTGTTACTCCGGGCATTATTTCAAACATTTTGTGGGCTCTCTCGGACAACAAACCCACTTTTACAAAGTTGAATAGAAACAGTTTTATCATGTGAAATTGCATCCCAGTATCCATGATGTATTTCTGACCCACAGCAATAAGAGTTTCGATTATTGATTTGTCAAGATAAAGCAGATGTTGTCTTGATCTTGTTGCTATTTAGAAAACTAGACAGCTATTTTTAGCTGCTAGAGTTTGTGATATAAATGTTCAAATAAAATATTGATACATGTACATGCAATATTATTTATTTTGTGAACATCTTAAGCAATTTGTCTATAGTTGAAATTAAAATTTAAAAAAATCTTTGCAGTAAATGAGAGTGGTTTACAAGGGAAAGGTAACTTTATGCCAAGGGGAAGTAATTCAACTCCAAGGAATCACTTTAGAGAGCCTCAGCCATCCACCAGTGCATTCACACCTTACAGGAGACCGGAACAAGTGCGAGCCGACTCCTCCACAGCTGTATGTTAAATTATTGTATTCGGTGCTTCATTATGATCTTTTCAGTCTTTATCTACTTGATTACTTAAGAAATAATTTATCCCAAACAATGAGTTTATCGCTCAATAACATCACTGTTTGGAGTTCAGATGCGAGGAATTATATCATGGGAGCGTAGCCCGAATGATATAATGATGTGCATTTGAATGAGAAACAGTGACGTTATCAAGCAATAAAATCATTTATATGGATATACTATTGTGATTCTAACACAACATCAAGAAATAAATGCTATCATACCTGATATTAAGCTAAATTGTGCCTGATTTGTTTCCATTCTAATTTTGAGCGTGTCTCATTTTAAGTGGTTACGTCACATGTATAATGATTACATCACAAGTCTAAATATAGAACGTCCACAGGGATTTTGTTGCATAATTATCACACACTTTCGGTTCTCCTATGTTCAATAAGGAAAAAATGTTGGTTGTGTTAGAATTTATCATTTGAACTTTTAAGCTGGTCTATTTGGAGATTAGAGAGAGCTATAATACCAATGAAACCAAGGGGTTGCCGTCACATGTTGGTTAAGATTTGCGTGCAAGTAGGTATCTCAAAAACTACTGCAGGGAAACTCCATACACTCCATACACTTAATTGAGAGTCTATTACAAGGTGACTTTTCAAGGTCCATGGATTTTGACAGAATTATGGACTGTTTAGAACTTCAAAAATTTTACATTATCCAGGATATTGATTTACTATCAAGCACTGAGAATAGTCAAGCAAATTGTCCTACTGACAGCTATTGTTTGTGTGCTCCTTAGTCAGATTTGTGTTAAAGGCATATAAACTCTACATTATTTGATTACTATTGAAATAATTGTACTGGAAAAATGAATGATCTGAACACAAGTTATTTGTTAAGACATACATCAAATGGTACAGAAAGCTAAGTGCCTTTAAGACTGCAAAGAAAGCAAAGTGCCTTTAAGACTGCAAATATTTGAATTAATTTTAGCTCACGTCTTTGTAAACTGTTTTATACAATATAAGTGATGATTGTCTTCCTTATAGTATTTTATCTGTAGAAGTTGTAGCACTTGAGGAGGAGTTGTTGCCCTTTGTATACAAATGCAATTTTAAACAGATAATCAAAAAATACAAATATTATATACACTTGTGTGTTTGACTTTTATTTTAGAAAGAAAATGTGGCAAAAGTTCAAAGATATTTAGAGAATTTAGAGGAGAATTCATCGCTAGGTGGTGATTTTGAGACACCAGATAATACTAGCAGTGCGGCACCTCGTTACAGACATTCTACACCACAACGGTCTTCCTCCAGGTACAAATGTTATTTATATATTTCCAAGTCGTTCAATCTGTTAAGGTACAATTTGTTGTGATTCAAAATACAATGAATATTTCCGATATTAAGAAGATATTTTTTCGTTTTTCTTGAAATATGGAATATATTATCACGAAACATGATAAAATGCTACATTCTTTCTTGAGCCGGGATGGCGAGTGAAAATATGTGGCATTATGTCATGTTGAGTGAGATATATACCATATTTCAAGAAAACGAAAAAATAACCTTTTTATTTAATTTCATTATCAAAGAAAAATTGTTACGAACCCCTTGCTTGTTACGCAACTGCAATTGTACAGCGCGCAGTAATATAATTATTGTCTTGTTTTGCACGCGATATTTAGCGCTACATTGTGACGTCACATAAACAACTCTTTAAACATCTGTACAGCATTAATGACTGAATTAAAGATACTGGTGTTTGGATTTATTTTCTTAGTTAGACCATTTTCTATCATTCTAGATAGTGCTCAAAACAAAATTCAGCAAAAGTTGTTTTGTATTTATCAAATTTTTCAAACAAAAAGTCCCTTAAAATAAATATGAGTTTTGACTCCGCCCACTTTCATATTTATATTTCATATTTATTTTTAAAAAATATGAAATATATTTCACTGATATAGCACCATATTTCATGGATAAAATAAAATAGTAGCATATAGTAAACAACACTTTCTATTAGCTGTTCTTGTTTGCTCCTGAGATACTATGGTATGAACAAAAATGTGTTAAACTTGGCATATAAATCAGACCAACAAACAAATAGTCCCCAGTTGATATGTGCAGTAAGTTTTTTAATGCATTATTGGCCAAAGATCATAACATAGTGCCAAATCTTGTTCAAAATAAATTCTGTATGGCATTTTAGATGAAAAAGGCCGTGGTAGACAGAAAATTGTGCCCAAAGGTTTGAAAACCAAGTGTGGGTTAAAGATACATTAAATCTACATCACAAGGATTTATTTTATATGTTTGTATATGGAAACACATTATGCTCCTCTATCTTTGAAACTTTGGTGATGAGATTTTCATTTTTCTTAAATGAGACCTTGTAATTTTTAAATTAACACATGCATTAACAGAGTTGATGGACCCTTAGACCATTCATGCATTGAAAAATTTATGATATTTCTCTGTATTTTAGAATGTCCACATCTAGTAATCGCTCAATGTGTCAGGGATTTACCAAGGCAGGCATTCCATGTAGACTAGGCTGTTCCAGTGGGTCCGAATACTGTTACAGGCACAGAGGTCAGGGGTCATCGTCATGACAACAAAACTGCTGAAGAGTTCAACAGTTACACTTGTTAGTAGCAGTATTTTAATGTTATCTATAATGTATTACATGTCTCAGATTTAATTTGCATATTCCATCAGTGGTATATTTTATTGTGCCATTCTCTTATTTCTATATATATTTCTATGATAAACTTTCCAATATGATCAATATCTCATGGAACAAGTAGATCTATCTCATTCTTAATATTATGGGGTTGCTATTGCCTTAGTTTATAAGATTTACAACAGTTTAAAAATAAGTTTACAGCAGTGTCCAGCTGATTTGCATGTTTGAAAGATATGCTGGATTCCGACAGCCTACAAGACAAAATTTGAACATTTTTTAGTGTGGTTTACAAACAATACATGACAAAATGTGAAACTTCTTCGAGATTAAGTTTAGTTCTCCATCTTTATTTTCTACATTTATTTTTTATTGACTATCTAAATATAATGATAAATTGCTTAATCTCTTAAGATTACCCATGTTACAAAGACATTTCAAGGCCAAGTTTAATCTATGTAATATGAAAAAGGAAAGACGTCTGGAAAAGACGTTTGTGAAAGAATTTTCAACAAAATTATACATTGTATTTTATTCGTTAAAATGTTGAAGCTAATGATGAACGAAATATAACACTCTTTGTTGGTTTTCTTGATTATGTACTTTTCCCATATTAGCTGTTTATCAATTTTATCAAACCAATTTTTAGATACATGTACTTGCTTTTTCAAATTTTACAGTTCATTTTGTTTTTCATGACTATAATATATATGTACCTAATATGTACTTTTAAAAAAATAATTATAATGTGTACAATCAAAATTAAAATCATGTTCACTGTCATCATTATCAACTGTTGATTACTTGCCAATCATGTATCATTAATATGTAGTAGAGTCTTGTTAAACCAAAACTAGCTGACTCAAAGGTCAAAGGTGAAGGTCACACATAGAGGTGAAAGGTCGTGGATGAAATTTGTAATTTGTTTCTGGTCCATAACTTAGTTAATCTCTGACAGATTATAAATCCCAGATTAAAACATTATACCAAGAATGCAAAAATATAGGCACCATTCTTATGAAGACACTTTTCTGATCTAACCAGAGATAGTACGGTCACAATGGTGTCAATTTAGCAAGGTTTCACTGTATTATTTCAAGAAATTTGGTGCTATGTTAATAACAATTGGAAATATTTGAAGATGTTTCTTTTTTCATCATCAAAAACTACAGGCTCTTTTATGATTATATTTTTTATATTGACAATAAATGAGAATATATTTTAGCAATTGATTCTTCCATTAACAATTATTTTTTCAAAGATGTTCAATTGAAAACAAACTCAGGTATTAGCTTAAGCAGGGGTACACTGAATGTTGTCATAGAATTATTTTTTATTTCATTACATTGATGTCTTTTTATTAATTAATTATGTCATATTAAAACAAATGTCACAATGTTTATGAAAGATTATTGAGAAAATTTACTAATTGTGACATTTCTATTTCGTTTGCTTTTGAAATTTGAGAATATCATGTTCAGAAAAAAGTGTTTCTCAATTGATCCTTTATAGCTTAAATTTATTTAGAAAATGCTGTCAATGTTTTTTTTATCTTTTTGCTGTCAAAGTTATTATATCTACTATGTTTATATTGTTGCCTTCCCTGTACATGTATATATTTTACTTATACAGACCTAGTGCTGTTCTGTTGTATATATTTTTGTGGGAGTGGGGGGCTGGATTGTTTGGTGTTTATAGAGTTGCATTCCATATTACTATACTTGGAAATATTTTACTTTTTATCACCCCACCACCCCACCCTTATCCTCCACCAATACTTTGATGACAGGAGTTGGGATATAAGATTATTTTTTTCTTGTGTGCAGAGGACATGTCTATCATAGAATAATTTTACACATTTGCCCTCTGAAGAGACATGTTTCTAAATCACTTTGTTTCAGCAATGACAAAAAATCCCCATATCAATGTTATTAAATTTTTTGTCTTCATTTAATTTCTATGTAAAGAGAGACTCTTCCATATGTGCTTGTTTCAGTTTGTTAATTGCAATACAAGTACATGTATTAACAATTAGATTAATTTAGATTTATGTTCTTTTTTGTTATGATTTTGTTGTTTACATGTATTACTTTCATTTCTCATTTTTGTTAATTTTTGTGAAAGTTCAATTAGTCACTTTTGTCTTGAAAAACAAGTAAGGAGAATGTTTTACACACATCTTAGAGGAAGGATTAAAAAATAACTATTTCCTAATATTATCACATGTTTTAGTTTGTGTGGAATTTCCTTTAAAAATTGTGGGTGATTTTAAGTTTTGTATTTGTTTATTCTTATTTTGTTTTTATTATTGCCATTGAGTAATGTTTTTTCCATATGCAAATAAAGAAATTTGCTCAAAGTAACAATAGACTTAATTAAATTATATTTTGGTTCATTAGCATTTTTAGACCCTATCCTCTGTTATATATCATTATCTGAACATAAGTATTTTATTCCCGATATTCTCCACTGCTGTTTCAAAAGAGAAGATGTTGAGAAGTTGTGAGTTACAAATTGTTTAGTTCTTGTTTAGTGTCGCCCATTGTTTTCTCGTTTAGGGCAAACGCATTCTTTTACTTGGGGACCATACACCGCTTTTCATGGAATGGCACTTAGTGTCACATTGAAGGTTCCATGATAACAGCCGTATGAACACATCTACGGATGTTTCTAAATTCAAAATGTCACCATTTTCATATTAAACCGAGCCTGCAACATTTTCAATTTAGCCGTTTTGGATTTTCTTTAGGTATTTTTTTCTCTATTTTACACTAAAATACGCTGGTCAGTGTTGCTACAGGAACAACTGTTAATTGTCGACCTGATTCTGACCGAAGTACAGTTGAAGCTTACCTCACAAACAAACTTAATTTGTAGTAAATTATAATTTCTTTTTTTGTCTTTTTTCCTATTACCCCGCAAGTGGCAAAATATTCTGCCCAAGCAATCAGTGCCGACCAAGATTAGCCATTTCCATACCATCTGATCATGGTCTGCACTGTTTTCGCTATTCAGTTTGTAAATATTTGAAAAAATTTCCCCATAAAATAATAAATGGTTTTGACTAGATAAAATGATGGACAAGTCCATTTAAGATATTTAGCATGGTAAGGGTTAAGTTTCGGACAGCTCCTTGTTTTATATGTTAAATATTTCAGTTATTCGAATAGTTCAATATTTTAAGATGTAAATCTATTTAGAACGCTTCCTTTCAGGGTTTGATAAAAATGAATTATATGATCAAAAAGAAATGTTTGTTTAAAACCCGTGTATCACGTGTTCGACGTAAAGAACATACCTAAAATTTCAAATAATTAAACACAATCCCTCTGTTATAAAAGTGTAATTTACTTGTATAAATCTAACTTAAGGCGTAACCTATTTTACTTTCATATACGTGAAAAGCGAGGGGTATGTATTTTTAAAGCTCTATCATATTTCCTGTGCCACTTTATTATTCTAAATGATAGCAATTGATATTAACTGTAAGGTGTCGGATAGCTTGTCATTTAGGAGAGATCTGAGCCCTGGTAAAATATTTAAATGGGAAGTTTAAATCATTAAATATCAGTCGGGATTGTTCGCGTAATACGATATGAGAAATTGTTTTGGTTTCATTTACTATTTACGGTATGGCAGAGCATTTATTGTGAAAACCTCTACCGTACTTAACTTGCATTGTCATCCGTGATAGTATTATTTCATATCAAAATATTTACCCCAGTTGTCAAAGTCGTATATTATAAAGGCAGTTTTACATTTATAACATGTCTAGCGTTTAACACCCGTCCTCCTCCGCTGAACCCGTCTTTGTCTGACGTCCGAAGGCCTAAAACCAGAAAATTTGAAAATCTTACAAATATTAAGTGAAGTACTTAAAATGGAAAACTAAGCAAAGCAATTGGTACAGAAATCTCGGAGTATTATTTCCATTATACATCTTTAAGTAATAATTTCTTGAGTTTTTTCACAACGTAATTGGGAAAAAAATGTCTTGCTGGACAGGTGTTGCTATAAAAATGTTACTTTTCTAAATATCGCATTTAGGACTAATATGGTCTCCCTTTTTTCTCGTTTGGACTTTGCTGTATCTTTTGATGCCGTGTTTTTTACATGTGATCTTTTTCATTTTCATTTTGGAACATAGTATAGTGTTTGTTGTTCATTGCCATTGATTTAGATAATCTCATTTTATATAAAAAGAAATTACTTCATTAAACTATAAACACTGTTTATCAAACAATAAACTGCGGAAAATGATGAACTTTCAATTCTTTTAACATTTATCACGCTATAAAAAACTAAAATAGAAATGTCCGCTTGACAATCTTGACAGTATCATTCATGATTTTGAGAACGAAAAACTGCGTATTTTTCGAACACCACTTCCGGTATTGTCTTTTTTCGGGTATTTCCGTAATCTCCGTAAAGTGCATATGAAGTCTTTAATTTATCAAATACATGTATTTAAACAAGAGAAAAAAACACAAGTTTATAACTTCCTCTATAAAATTATCTCCCATTTTTCTTCATGATACTTCCGCCATATGTTAATTATATTTGCAACGTAAGGATTCTTTATGCTTAATACGATCCTGTAACGAATTTTACAATTTTAAAATCTTGCATTTTTCCTCGTTACGAAGAAATTTTTTCCTGTATAAGCTACTGAATATGATAGGATTGAAGTGTTTTCTAAGTATCGTGTTTAAATATTTAAGGCATTTTTATCCCGACAGAAAATAAAAGAAAAGTTTTAGTGTTCTTTGGAGGAAAGGAAATACATGTAACACGTAAAAAAATGTTAATATTTACCAAATATCACTATCACTTGTATAAACTACATAGTTGTATCTAAAAATTAAATTGCGCAGGGATAAATTAAGTACACATGTACTAAATATAGATTTCAAGACACAACCTGACTTGAGGTGTACAAACGATGCTCAAACTTGTCAATATGTCGATATTTTTTGCAGACTTGATTTCACAATATCAACATCGTTTGCATATTATCAACATTGTCTGTAGTCTTTTAGTTTCATATATAAATTAATATATTAAATACAGTAAATGTCAAACGAACATTAGATGTCCGCCTCTCAACCGAAAGACAGAAGTTTGAGTCTTTCACGCTCCGTAGGGGCGGGCTTTTCGACGTTTGTCGATAAACAGCTGATTGTTTCATCATTATCTACTCTATTTTTGTTTAATATGCACCAACGCAGCTATAATTTATATCCACACTGCACTTTTATGTATGATTTGCTCTAGAAAATGTACGTTCTGCTTCAACAAGTAAATATTTTTGTGAATGACTGTTCGATATCTCATGTTCTGTCTACTTTAATGTCATATTTTAGTAGTAAATATATTTTATATAACTAAACGTGTCTTTTTTAAAGGCATAAATTCACATCACGTAAGATGTCGGTGAACATTTTACCACATTTTTGTCATTCTTTCGTCGAGCTCGCTTCAATTGATAATGTTAACATGGTTCTGTAGTTTAAATAGTTGAACGTGATTCTCATATAAATAAAAACAATTGTATAACTACCGTTCCCATACCCCACCCCTCAAGCTATAAATAGAAAAGAATTTTATTCACAATTTTTTGGTTTCTTTAAGACGTTCAATAGAATTCCAAGGCAATGTGTGATGTTTAGCCTCATTTATGCACAAGAAGTCAAAACAGGATAAAGACTGTCTGAACCTAACCAATCCTTTACGTTTTCTTTCCTTCTTTCTTTCTTCTTTTCTTTTCTTCTTCGTCTTTCTTTCTTTCTTTCTTTCTTCACCTTTCTTTTTTCTTTCTTTCTTTCTTTCTTTTTTCTTTCTTTCTTTCTTATAGTTTCTTTCTTTCTTTCTTCAGCATTATCTTGTATAGCGAAAAAACTTATATATAGCAAAAATTAACAACTTATTTTTAGCCATATTTAGCTTAATGGAAAGAAAATTAATTTACACATAAACATCATACCTTTATATTGAATCCGGAAAAGATGAAACAAGTGGTAAAAATAACTATGATATTGAATAATTGCAACTTGTATGCACTAGATAAAAATATAATTAATTGTTCCTCGCAGGGAGAAGAATGTGTTCGCATTGTTTCGATGATAATAAATAATAAACAACGGACACGTATAAACAATTACTTAGTTTCTGAAGGTAAGTAAATCATATCAGGTTTTCCTTATTTATGAGTGCTTTAAGGTTTTAATTTTTTCTGACCCAATAATTAAATCGAATTTTTAAGGGCAAACGCTTCTATTTATTTTTTAGAATCATATAATAATTAAGAAGCATGATTGGAAGCGAGTAAGAAATGTATATATAAGAATCAAAATTAAAACTGAGGAAATGATGAACTTTTCAACTCTTTTAGCCTTTAGTTACCACACAAAAAAAACAACTAAAATGGACATGTCCACATAACAATCTTGCCAATACCAGGGGAAAATTTTCGATGAAAAACTGCGTATTTTCGAACACTACTTCCGGTATTGTCGTATCTTTTTCGGGTATCTCCGTACTCTTGCCGGAAGAACATAAAACAACAACAACAAAAACCCACTGAATAACGAACAATGCAGACGATGATCAGACGGCATGGATGATCTTTGTGCACTGGTTACATGGGTATCATGGGAAACAAGTAAAGAGTTTAACAACCGTTTACGTCAAGTATTGCAAAAATAACAAAGATTTTTTGTATACCATTGACAAAGACTTAAATTATCTTATTAATCGACTCTGAAAGTCAATATACTTTATTTACTTATAACTCCTAGTAACACTGATGCTAAATCGAATCTTTTTTATTATCCCTCCCACACAAAAAAAAATTCATCCAGGTTTTAATTGCGAATTTATTTAAGATACTGCATGTTTATCATAATGGTATGTAAAAAGGCTACGAAAGGCTATATGTATATGGTATACAAAAAGGACAAACAAAACATGAAATAACTATGTGTTTTAGCCTAAAGTCACTTAGATATGTAGATTTATTATTAAACAGAAAATGTGTAAATACACTGAAATTGCCTTACAGGGCTAGATTTCATGACGTCGAATTAATATTACTGATACACATCTTAAGAAAATTTTGCAGCAATTTGGATAAAAGAATTTGAATTACGGTAATAGTACGGTGACCAAGTAACATAGATACGTCTGGTTAGGGGAAAGGCCAGGTATAGATTAACATTAGGTTTACGTACTATGTGTGAGATAGCATATGTACATGACTATAAATAGACAATTAATTTCATTGTATCCTTATATTATAAAGTTTCAGATTTCAACTGAAGAATTTTGATTTATCTGATTTTTTTCTTTTTATACCTTATGTTGTACT